TGCTTAAAAAATATCTCATTTACTCAATAAATCCTCATGTACCAAAAAAAAAAAAAAAAGATCAAGTAAAATAATACAAATAATCAATCTATTTTTAAATTTAAAAAGTTGATCATGAGTTTAGAATCTTTAAAGATTCCAATTACGGGCCATTGAGTGATGTACGAAGGCCAACCACCCAAGATTCCGGTCAGCTCACGTGTTTCCCTCCAGACCCCAGGCGGCTGCAGCCTGCAGTACAGCAGTACAAGGATATTCTGCTGGGGCCTTTCAAGAAATCAGGGCCATGTCCATCAGTTGATGAAAAAAGACGAAATGAATCATTTATTATTCCTCCAATCAGTTTGAACCATGCAAACGGACCACCATGGAACATGACAGAACCAAGACCCATCACCAAATAATATCTTGTTCAAGTCTCTACCGCATGTTTGGCTATTGGCATTAAGGCCATTGAAACTCTAAATTGAAAGCTTCAAGGTGAAATTTTGAAACGGGATGATGACTTATAAGGAGTTTAAAAAATAGAAAGATTACGTCTGTTATGTATAATTTGTCATCAATTATTTCAGAAACGTCTTACCCCATGTTTGAATTGCCAGAAAAGAAAAGAAAAGAAAATTTTGAGAGTTTCTTAGGGGAAGAAAAATGTATGAATGACTCTGCATTAGCCACAACTGTTATATGTCCCTTTCATTTGTTAATCACCATACACTAGGAACCAGGGACATCTCACCTCAGTTGACTGACATACCTTAAACTAAACCCTTAAAAATTCATCATGAGTCATAACAATAGTAGACAAGTAATTAAATTGGTAACTATGCCTCAACAAATTTCAATGAATAAGGCTGTTGCAGTCCTTAAATTTGGTAGATTTTTTTTTTTGAAACAGCTTATTATTTTGGACGAAAGATTCAAAACTTAACCCTTGAGTTAAAGGTATACTTATAATATTACTTATAATTATCATATTAAAAAGACAAGATGCAAATTTGGTAGATCTTTGAAGATGATAAATAAATGAAACAAATTCACCTGAATGCAACATAAAAACACCAATGCATATATTCCTTTCAATGTGAAGATTGAAAAGGAGATTGCTTTCTAAAAGCAACCAATAATGATGCTTTACCATCTTGTTCTCCATAATGGTTAAGGATATAATTACACAAATAGTTAATTAATACAAATATTAAAAGAAAGTCATTGAAATTAGGTAGGAAAAACAGCATTACCAGCTGAAGAGAAATAACCAGTGACAGAAGCAGCAGGTTAAAAAGGGGGTTAACCAAACCCCCGGGTGTGAGAAACTTGACCTTGTTGTTAATACCGCCAGAGTTGACAAATTGAGATTCCCTGCAATAGAAGTGCTTATTGGCCTGAAAAATCTGTATCTCCCCCTATCTAACAATAACCACTCTCTCTTGTATGGACCCCTACATCCTCCATTTGTTTTCTTTCATAGGGCCCGAGCAACCATGAAAGGAGTTGGTGTGTCTCTAAATATGATGGATGGTCCCTTGAGTAGTTTGCTGTAGCGCTTTCCATCTATGGTTCATATGGGGGTACCGCAGAAGGTACAAAACAACCAGACTTGTTGATGACACCATCAGAGTATCTTAGTTTTGGAAGAGTTATCTGATTCCTGGCTCTTCATCTTCTTTTCCCAAGTGCTTCAGCTATCATGTCCGTATTCCACTTGGTATATTTCATCTGGGTGTTTTTGTCAGTAAGCTTCTCTGTCTTTCTTGGCTCTGCTTCATGGTGCCCACACCAATTTGTTCAACAGATGATGAATCGACAATTCCAGCAGAAAACTGATCGGTTCTGGGAGTTTCAAGAGCAATCTAACACCTGGGTTGAAGTGAAGCTTCCTTTTGATCTTGTCTCATGTGTTGATGATAACTGCATCAAAGTGGGATTGATTGATCAGACAAAAAAGATCAAGGAAGAGCAGTCACAGGAAGAAGGATATGATAGTCCTGAAGAAAGGAAGAGCATGAAAAAGAAGGATCATGATGGAGGAGGAGGAATTGAAGACAACTCTCTTGTGGTTTTGCCTATGAGAAAAAGAATTTCTTTGACTAAGATGTCTGAGACATCCATTTGGGTCACTGGTGAAAGTGGGTCTATCTATGAGAGGTTCTGGAATGGAGTTCAGTGGGTGATAGCACCGCATAACTTACCTATATCAGCAGGGCATGCAATCTCTGTATTAGAAGTCAATCAGACAATCCTTACCATATCAGAAGAAGGGAAGCTATACCAGGTAATACTAAGTTTCAGTTTCTTGAGATTTATATTCAGATTAAAATATCTGAGTATAAACAACTAGGGGGTAGAATTTCAGAAGATTAAGCCAGAATACCATAAGAGTATTGAATTTAACACATAATTCATCAAACATCAACTGAATCACACACACACCCCAAAACAATCCATTTTCTAGTTCTTCTCTTGATATTTAACTTACTAGTTTGTTTATGGTAGAAGGGGATTGAGAAAGAACGAACCTTTAGATTTGTAAAGCAGAAAGTTTCAGTTGACAATACTTAAAATTATTTTGTCTGTCTTCTACAATTTACCAGAGATTTTTCTGGTATGCGTCTTATATGCACACAGAAGACAAGTTTTAGTGATGCAGCTGTTCTGCCCTGCGTGGGTAATGTGGGCTACTGCTTCTTTACCCCTTCTACTACGAAGGTTACCCCAAAAATGAACTTTCCCATCACATCCCACTTCACAAATTTTCTAAAAATCCATAAATGCAACAAGTAGTATAGTAGCTTATGAATAAGCCACTTACCTTAGACTCAAGCCACATGGCTAGAAAGATTCCCAGTTGCTAGTATGGGTTGTTTTATCCCCTTTCCTCTTTCAGATGCAACTGAATGAGAACTCGCAACCAATTTGGGTAGAGTTCATGCCTGCATTTTTCAATCAAGGAACAAATGAAGAAGCAGAACAGAGTTCAGAGATTCAAATAAAGTCTGGTGTTGTTTCACATGATGGGCTGTAAGTATATCAATTTAATTTTAGGATATTTTCTTCTGGGAGCCATACATTATGGTGGAGGAGAGTCAAACCTGATTGCTGCAGGAATGCTTTGCATCTGTACTGACAGCTCCTTGATTTTGCCAATTGCATGCCAGGAGAGTTTATTTCTGCACTAAGAGTGGGTTGTTGTTGGAACTTATTGATGTTGAACAGTTGAGGTACAGGATCCCTTCATCTTTTAATGTCTCAATACTAGTAAACACCTTTTGAATTCCACACTCCATAGATGTAGTGTAGATTTCAAGAGAAACTAATGTTCATTTTGGGCACCTGTGCTACATACCTAGAACAGTTGGGAGAATCACAGCCGACCACCAGGAGCAGATGTTGCAGCAATAGCTGATGCTGCTTCAATTAGAACAGAAGTAGTATATACCATAAGGTAAGAAAAAAAGTACCAATAGCCATGTAGATATGTTTATGCAGACCGAGTGGAAATATCTCCTGGGTGATTAAGAATGCCGTTTAGCACACAATTTATTTCTACTAAACTAATAGGTCGCTGGCTCCATCTACTAGAAAATACCCAAAAGTTAATAAAACAAACTGCAAGAAAAAAAGAAAAAAAAAAAAAAGAGAGCAAATAAATAAAAGTAAAGTTACATGCACACACATATACATTTTTGTGCATGTGTATAGGGAGATGGAGGGTAAGTGGATGGGTGTATGTATGTGTGCAAAAGAGTTTGCTCTAAGGATATTATGAATGCAAATATCTGTTGCCATTTAGGATGGATATCTTGTTTATTCCCAATCTGAAAATCTTCTTCTACACTAAAATTGAAGCTGTGCAATAGTTCTACAGGTGATCTCTATGAACATGATAAAAGCTCAAGGCCATCATGGAAGAAGCATATACGGAAAGAAGGAAGAGAAGAAGATAGTTCTGTTATACCCTTACTGGGTTGTACCTTACATGGCCTGAGTGGAGACCACTCTGTATCATTGTTTCTTCTAACAAAGGTAAAAAGTGTAAAAAATATATGTACGTTAAATTGTAAACTATCAGAACAGATTGTTACTTCATCTTCTCTTAGCAAACAATTTTAATGCAATATTTTACAAATTTCTGTAAATACACAGGGTGGTAAATTGATTGAAAGAAGGCTACACCAAAGGAAATGGAAATGGATGACCCATGGAAGTCCAGAAGATCATCACCTGACATCTATCATACCAGAGCTGCAAGATGAGACAAATGAAAAGTTCTTTTCATTATTTCTTACTACAGCCACTGGATATGTTTTTGAGTATCGATTACCAAAACAGTCAGGTGAGTCAAGTGGATATGTAGAGTAACTTATAATTCTTCTCTTCCTTTGCTCTTTTTTCTTTTTCATTTTGTGTGGAATATTTTGAGAGGTAATGTTCTTAGCAAAAATATGAACATCCTATTTATGGGGTTAAACAGCATGATACCTAGACATGTAAAGTATGTTTTTAAGATGCAAACCACTTTGGATACGTGAGAATTAAACATGGACTGTCACACAGAGTAAAAGAAATGATAAATCTAACGAAAACACTGCATTCTTGATGTAAATTTTGCATGTGAAGACAGGTATAGATCGAGACAACCAAATTTCAGAAGCATGGTTGAATCATATGCATCCACCAAATACAAAAGCTGCAAGAGGTATTTCTGGGATAAAATTTCAGCCCGGCAGGATACTGTTTCCACTGGATGATGGTAGACTAGCAGAACTACATATACCTGGTCAAGGTGGGGAAAGTTCAGGGCCAACATATCAATTTAACACCCGAAGGAAATCACCAAATAAGTACATCTGGTCAATATTAGACGCACCAGAGACTGAAGGATGGAATGCAGAGTACTGTACAGAAGAACGTGGACCTATGAATTGCTTTTCAGGTACAAAAGATGAATTAAATGATTTAGGAATGGCTAGATCAACTAGAAGACGGAAGGGTAACCAAGCACAGCATGATTACTTAACTCCAGGCACATCCAATGTTAAACTAGTTAGATCATCAGAAGAATACAGTTTACCATATAACTGGATCAACACTAACTTCCGCTTGAGAGTAATGCAAGAGGGTAGATCATTTTTCCTCATTACAGATGGTGGTTTGACTTTTGAATATCTTTACACTGAACCTGTATGGCTCTGGTTAAGGCATGATCACTCAACACCTATGAAAGGTGCACTAGGAAACTACAATGGAAGTATTTTTATGGTCAACACATATGGTAGTTTGCTTATTAGGGAAAGGAGTAGCAATGAGTTAGCATGGATAAATTGCACTGCTATGCGGAAAGGAAGGCAAGTTATTGGAGGCTCTCCGTGGGATGGAATGCCAGGTAAAACTATGAAAGTCACAGCTGAAGATGCACTATTCTTGGTGAGCAAAAGTGGAAAACTATTGCAGTTCACAGTAAGTTGCTAAAACCAAATAAGTGTTACTTCTTCAATTACTTTTTGTAAGCACTTTACCTTTCTTTTAAGTTATTCTTCCATTCCTCAATTAAAAGTAGAAGGATAAAGACTTCAAGAATGCTACTAGTCTTCTAGAATTTGCTTTTCCCAAAGATATTAAACCTAGATTAACGGTAAATGCATCTTCTCCAAATTATACATATTCCCCTTGGTACTGACACCTAAGCTTCATGATAGCCAACAGCATAAGTGATCAAATAACCATTGTTATCACTAATATAAAAAATTTTCTTATAATCATAGAATTAAGCATTGACAATTGGAACTGTTGTACAGGTATTTCTAAGGAAGTTTAAGTGGAAAGACTGTCGAAATCCTCCAAATACTAAAGTTGCATGCATAGTAGACAAGGAACTGTTCAGGGAAAATATAGTGTTTGTCATTGGAAGAAATGGCAGGCTATACCAGTATAACAAAGTGACTGACTTGTGGCATGAGCATCAGCAGTCTCAGCATTTGATTCTGTCACGATCACCAGGATGTGCTCTAAGGCCATCATCAATGTCACTGACTGGCTCACTATTCATGCTTTCAGAAGATAGTAGATTGGTTGAATATCACTGGAACTCATGGGATGGGTGGAACTGGGTGGAACATGGCACTCCATACAAAGATGTAACCTTGGTTGGTTCACCAGGTCCATGCTATGAGGGTAATCTACTATTTTTGATTGGTTCAGATGGACATGTATACCTCAGATATATGGACCAATTTACATGGAGATGGAAAAACTGTGGCTACCCATATATTGGAAACAATGGTATTGAAGACCAAACAAAAGATTGGAATGAAGTTTGTATTGACAATGACCTTGCAACTAGCTTGGAGAGTGATGCAGAAAATTTAAATGATCATGACAATAACTGTGACCCCAAGGTTGTTAGCTCTTTGCACTTATTCCTACAACATTCTTGATACTAAGCTAATTGCAATCTTCTGGATATATACAGGTCGCATCTACAAGACCAATTCCATTTTCTGAGGATTCAGTTATCTTCGAGCTGAGAGATGGCAGAGTAAGCATCCATTGACATCTCATTTCCTAACAGACATCTTTAGTTTAGCACAAGCTAACCACCATATCGTATACCATAAAACCTATGTTACTGAGACTAATATTAATATTGGACACATAAACACAATGACACGGGTAAGTTCAATCTTGCTTAAGGTTTTTTCATACCCATGTAAGTTCAAGGTGGATATTTTCACAAAAAATGTCATCTGAAGGAAGCTTTTAAACCACAATGTAAAAAAACCAAGCTGACAATTAATATTATTGAATGGCAGTTGGCAGAAATGCAGAGGGTGGAGGGAATGCAATGGGTTTGGTCACGCATCATTGGCACTCCATCAAGCTTATGTGTAGGAAGTTACTGGACTGCTTTGGCATCATGAAACCAAACACACTTGAATCACACAGCATCTCATCAAATACACACCAATGTACACAATTACAGGCTACTGCCAAACTATGTACATCAGATACAAGTATAATCAAGTTCTATACTTTTTTTTTTTTCTCCATTGTTTTGGTTGTGGTTAACAAACAACAAAATCATTCCAAATTTCAACTTAACAAACTAAAACCATGCGGTGTCCATGTCGTCCGAGGTCTGCTGGGCAGAACGACGTCGTTTTTGACTGGGATCGTGAATAAAGCTTGAATTTTTTTCTTTTTTGCGCTTGTGTTGCTGTGTTCATGGTGGGTTCTCGAATCAGCTCCCGAAAGAAAACATTTTGGGGATGGTTCTTCATCGCAATCGGCGCCATTTGCCTGCCCATGTTCGTCTTTGCTGCTGTTGTGTCGAAGCTTCTTCCGCCGTCAGATAACCCCGTCATAGCCGCCGTCCAGAACGACAGGTAATTTTGATGGGCAATGACTGCTTAAAGTTGCCTTCTTTGATGTACTATTAGGAGTTTGGAAAGGCAAAACTCTTACTATGGCCTTATACCATATAGGAAGGGATGGAAGAGCAATTTGGGTTCTTAAGGAATGTTTACGCCATGATTCTTTGAGGATTCTGCTTAAATTAATTTACTCAGACATTTAAATTTTGGATAAGAGGGAGATATATCAGGTCCAGTGTTTATGCTACGAAACAAATGTTCAGTGAAAACTACACTTTTGAGGTTGTGGGAAGTCTTTAGTATTTGGGACATTTTTCTGAAAATGTGCATTCACCAGGAAGCAAAGAACCAGTTTACACTTGCTTGAAAGATGGATACACTTCATAATTTATTAATCAACTCGGTACGGTCATTCTTTGAGCGAAATGGAAGCAATCAATTGAGATTAATATATATATATATATATATATATATAGATATTGAAGCAATTAAGGGGTTGCTTGGTGGAGATTGGATTCAAGCAGTATCCAACTCTCATTCTTTAGGCCCTAACAATGTTGCATAGGCATTGTGTATGTATGGCAAGCTTATTGCTTAGATCTTCTGCTCATGGTAGGCATAGCTGTTCGCTTTCTTGATCTGGGTGATGGTGATAATGACTAATGACACTATGACAGTTAAGGTGGTATTCATGTTGCATGGCTGAATGGTTCTAAAGTTGACCACTTTTCCCTTTTTAATTCAAGCTAGATACTTTCTGTAGCTCTCTTACCTGTCTTGAGCAATCAGCAGCTGCAACTTGCCACTTATAACATTCATAAAGTTTCTTATTTCAATTGATTCTGGATGCTAAAAACATTGTTGTTCTGGAAATATCTTATTATTGATGACAACAATGGTAAGTACTCTTGTATTTTTACATGACAGGTATTACTACCTCTTGGTGCCCTTGACCCTTCCTGTTCTTGTGGTTCCTGTATATTTCCATTGGCTTAGCATGCATGAGATCTTCTTAGCAGCAAGCACAGATCTCATCAGAGGAAAAAAAAAAAAAAAGACTATGGTGGAACATGACATCGTAATTCAGGAACACAATCCATAACCTGCTTATAGTCTTCTGTTTTCTCTATTTGGACAAACAAGTAACCAATTAGGCCATTCCACACGTAAATCTAAATAAGTCACTTATGTAAGTTTTATATAAATTATCTATCCTTTATTTTACAATCCAAGAGTTGAGATTGGTGCTTGTATTGGTTAATCCTGCATGAATATTGATCTAGAAAATATATCAAGATCTCCTCCTTCTGGGTTATGGTGATCGAGGTGGAGGGGGAAGGAGGATTCGAACCTTCCACTTGGGTATTTATTAGGAAGTGCTCATGGGGATATACCACTTGTGTCACTACCCGTGGATATCAACCATGAAGATTAGATTTCCTCCTCGTTTTCAAGGAAGCATGCAAGTATCTTGACAATGTAACCTTGAGCAATTTGTTGTGTGGGTCCAACTGCATATTAAATTCAGTGGTTCCTTTCCATACCCTAATAATTCAAGCCTAATAGTCCAACATTTAGTCGGACAAGACAAAAGACCATGTTAGTCTACCTCCCCTTCAATTAAATCATAATCTATGATGTGGACCTTGTCAATCTTTTTTATAATTTTATTGACTTTGTAAATAAGTTATTTTTTGTATTAATGACTTCTTTATCTATTATTAAGTATTTATTATTAGCTTAATTAGAAATGGCCTTCTCTATAGTACTCTTAAGAGGAAAATTTTATAAATAAATATTTTTTCCCTATATAGTTACTTCTACTAATTAATAATTAAATAAGAGGTTAGTAGTAATATCTTTATAATGAATATAAGAGATTTTAAATTTAAGTCATATAATGTGTAATTGACATGAGTAAAAGGATAAGAAATAGTTGATTTTTATTATATAAGTTAGGATATTTTTTTATAAAAAGAATATAATTAAATAAGTTCTCCCTTCATTTTTTTTTTTAACATGTGGGCTAAAACTAGAGTTGGGCTACTTGAGATACTCTAGCTTGACCCAATAAAGAATAGTGGAGCTTGGGAAGCCCAACAGATCATATTGGGGCCCAGTTTGTCATGATTAAGTGGGACATGAGCAGTACAAATGTTGTGGACTCACTCCGTCTCGACAACAACATCAACATCAACGATCTATTATTTTCTCTGATTTCTTTTCCCCTTACCCATCATATCTACAAGGAAAGGAAACAAGCCTTCCAAGTGTGACCCACAAAATAAATTCCTATTCAAAATTCAATCATTCATTAGCTCCCAGTTTTAGAAATATGTTTTTTTAATATTATTGTTTTATTTTTAATTATTAATGTTATATTTTTTTTTATTTTAATTGATTATTATATTTTTTAATTTATTATTTTTTTATTTTGATTATACAATAACAGATAATTATCTCTCATCTTTTATCTCATCTCACTCGTATGCCGACTTAAACTCAAAACTCCTTTTTTCTAGTGGAAAAAGATAATTATTAAATTATTTAAATCATTTCACATGTATTTTAATTTATTAAAAATAAAAAATATAAAATTTTTAAAATAAATATAATATAAAAATATAATAAACAATCACATTAAAAATTGTATGACATTAACCGTTATGATGCGACAATAACCCACTTTTTTTTTTGGTAAAAATTAAAATTAAATCGAACTTAATATTCTAAGAATGTTTTTTTTTTTTAAAGTTATTTTCAACATTTTGATAAGCTAAAAGCTGTTACAAATTTGTAACTCTTTTATAACAGAAATTTATGAGGTAGGATCAAGTTATACGGTTACACTGATTTTTAGTTATTAATTTTAAATTTTAAATAATTAATATAAAATTTAAAATTTCAAAATAACTCTTAAATTTTAAAATATGTGATTGAAAAATGGCATGAGAGGTTTTTAAATTTTAACCAATGTAAGTTGATCT